ACCAGTTCCTAGTTTTGCTTATTTACTAGTTCAATTGGTTTTTTATTTTCAGGATTCCATTTTGGTGGTTAATTGGGGGTTAAATTTTTTTTCTAGCTTTTTTAGTTGCATGCCCAATTCATTGACCTCTTCTTTTTCTCTTTTATTGATGTATGCCTAAGAAATGCTTTGGCTGCAACCCACAAATTTTGGAATGCTATCTCACTGTCATCATTCTTTTTAGTGAAATTATTGCCTGTTTCTATGATTTGTTCTTTGACCCACTCATTTTTTAGGATTAGATTTAGTTTCCAATTAGTTTTTAATCTATACTTCCATGGCCCTTTAAGAAATATAATTTTTTATTGCATTATGATCTGAAAAGAGTATATCTAATGCTTCTGCTTTTCTGAATTTGGTTGTGAGGTTTTTATGCCCCAATACGTGGTCAATTTTTGTGTAGGTGCCATGAACCACTGAGAAAAAGGCATATTCTTTTCTATTACCATTCTATTTTCTCCAAAGGTCTATCATATCTAGCTTTTCTAATATTCTATTAATTTCTTTGACTTCTTTCTTACTTCTTTGATGGTTAAATTTATCTAGCTTGGAGATGGGGGAAAGTTGAGGTCCCCCACTGGTATAGTTTTCCTATTTCCTCTTGTAATTTAATTAACTTTTCCTTTAAGAATTTGAATGGTATACCATTTGGTCCAATGGGGTCAACAAAGAGTCAGACATGACTGAACAACAATGCCATTTGGTACATATATGTTTAATATTGATAAGACTTCACTGTCTATGGTTTCTTTTAACAAGATGCAATTTCCCTTTTTATGTCTTTTAACTAGGTCTGTTTTTGCTTTTGCTTTGTCTGAGATCTTGATTGCTACTCCTGCCTTTTTTTAACTTCAGCTGAAGCTTAATATATTCTGTTCCAGCTTGTTATTTTAACTCTGTGTGTGTCTCTCTATTTCAAGTGTGTTTCTAGTTTCTAATCCATTATATTATCAGCTTACATTTTATGAGTGAGTTCATCCTATTCATAACCAGTTATGATTACTAACTGTGCATTTTCTTTCATTCTGTTTATGCTTCTCTCTTTTTATCCTGTCCCTACTTTAAAGCCTGTTTTGCTTCTGACCACTGCCTTCTTTTATCTGCTCTCCATTTTATCAAACCTCATTTTTCTTGTCCTTTTTCTCTCCTACTACCCTGTTAGATAAGATATATTTCTATTACCACTTGAGTATTTATATATTTTTGAGTTAATTTAGATGTGAGTGAGGCAAGCATTGCCTGCCCTGTCCCCACCATTTTCCTGTCCACTGGAGTAGCTCTTCCTTGTGAGCCTCTTTTATTTGAGGCAATTTTCTCTATTCTTCCTCACCTTTCCCCTTCTCCCAGGGCATCCCTCTTTCTTGCCTATCCATTTTTTTTATGTCACTCCAATATAATCAATTGATTCCTGCACCCTTTTTCTTCTTAGAATCCTTCTAACCACCCTAATAATGATATAAAGTTCTTAGAAGATACACAGAAAGGTAAACAGTTTAACCTTATTGATTTCCTTATGATTTCTCTCTCATGCTTACCTTTTTGTGTTTCTTGAGTCTTGTATTTGAAAGTCAAACTTTCTATTCAATTTTGGCCTTTTTATCAGGAATGCTTGAAAGTTCTCTATTTCATTAAATTATCTATTTTTTCCTGCCTTGAAGGATTATACTCAATTTTTCTGGGTAAGTTATTCTTGGTCATAATCCAGCTCTTTTACCTTCAGGACCATCAAATTCCAAGCACTCTGCTCCTTTAATATGTTAGCTCCTAAATCTTGTGTCATCCTGACTATGGCACTATGGTATTTGAATAGTTTCTTTCTGGCTGATAGAAGTATTTTCTCTTTGTCCTAGGAGCTCTGAAATTTGGCTATAGTATTTTTGGGAGTTTTCATTCTAGGATCTATTTCAGGTGGTGATTGGTAGATTCTTTCAATTTCTCTTTTACTCTCAGATTCTACTATACTGCAGCAGTTTTTCTTGGTGATTTCTTGAAACATAATGTCTAGGCTTTTTATTTGTTCATGGCTTTCAAGTAATCCAATAATTCTTAAATTTTGTTGTTCAGTTACACATGACTTCATGATCCCATTTGAGGTTTTCTTAATGAAGATACTGGAGTGGTTTGCCATTTCCTTCTCCAGCTCATTTTACAGATGAAGAAACTGAGACCAACAGGGTTAAAAGACTTGCTCAAGGTTATGCCATGAGTTTTTGAGGCCAGATTTGAACTCAGATGCTAGGCCCAACACTCTATCCACTGTCCCATCTTGCTGCCCTAATTCTTAAATGATCTTTCCTCATTGCATTTTCCAGATCAGTTGTTTTTCCAATGAGATATTTCATATTTTCTCCTATTTTTCTCTTTTTTGACTTTATTTTATTGTTTCTTAATGTCACATGGAGCCACTAGTTTCCACTTGCCCAGTTCTAATGTTTAAGGAGTTATTTTCATCAGTTCATTTTTGTACTTCTTTTTCCATCTGGCAATTCTATTTTTTAAGGTGTTATTTTCTTCAGTATTTTTTTTTTGTGCCTCTCTTACCAAGCTGTTGTCTTTCCATAATTTTCTTCCATTGTTTTCATTTCTTTATCTAATTTTTCCTCTACCACTCTTAGTTGATTTAGAAAATAATTTTATAGCTCTTCCAGGAATTCTTGTTGGACTTGTGTCCAATTCACATTTTTTCTTTGAGGCTTTGCTTGTAGCCATTTTGACTTCATTATCTTTTTCTGAGTTTGTGTCTTAATTTTCCCTATAACCATAGTCATTTTTTATGGTCAGGTTCTTTTTTTGTTGTTTGCTCATTTTTCCATCCTATATCTTGATTTGGAATTTTATGTTAATGTTGGGCTTTGTTCCTGGTGTGGCAGGCGGCAAGGCTCTGTGTCAAGCTTCAGGCTTTTTTTGCACTGTTGTTTTCAGAGCTAGTTCTGAGGGTTTGGAAGTTTTCTGTGCTTCCCAGGTGATGTCATCTAAGGAGAGGTGTGGTCATTGCTCTTTTGGTCTACACTCTGGTCTCTACCCAGGAAGGGCCCCTGATCCCTTGGAATTGCAATTGATACTGTTCCTCAGGGCCCCTCTTCCCTTGGGCCCAGAAGTGATATTGTCTTTCAGGATCTCTGATCTCTTGGGGCTGGAAGTGATACTGACCCTCAGAATTTCCACTCCCTCTTGATTGAAAGTGCTCCTCCTCTCTGCCCTTGAACCATGATCCAGAAGTAGGCATAGGCAATGGAGCTGCCAAACAGCATCTGGTCCTATGTACAGTGCTAGCCCAGGGGTACCCTCTAATCTCTTTATGAACAGTTGCCAGGTCCCCCTTACCATCCTTGGCTTGAAAATTCCTAAAGCTGCTGTTGCTTCTGTCACAACTGCTTAGTCCCACCATTGGTGTTTCATCCACATGGGCTATGGGTTAGCCTCCACTTCCATGTTACAGATCCCTCTGACCTCCTAAGTTGTTTTGGGCTGGAAGAATGTCTCTCTCTGACCTTCTGTTGGCTCTGCCACTCTAAAAATTTGAGGTGTTAAAGTTGTTTGGAGGGGAATGTTGGGAGAGCTTGGCTGAATGCTTCTTTACTCCACCATCTTGGATCCACCCTGAGAAGTGAAGTTATTTTCTTCATTTAAGGTTCCCTATATCAATGAAACCACAGGTCTGTCCCCCACCCCTGAAAAAATTATAATAAATGAGGTAGTTATTTTGTACATGTCGATATAATTACTCAAGTGATTTCACATGGTGTTTCCAATCAGATTTTATATCCTACAGCAAGCACTCTTTTTATGTCTTATATACCATCTTTAATGCCTAGTACTATGGTCTGCACGTGTAAGGTGTGCAATAAAAATTTAACTAAATTTCAAAAAGTTTAGCTAAAAATTAAAGTTCATCAAGACACTAAGCCTATGAAATATAACTCGTAAATCCATTCAACTTTTAACTTGATTTTCTTAAATTTTCAATTCTATTAGTCAATCAATCAATCTTTATTAAGTACCTACTATGTGTCACATACTGAGCTAAATGCTAGGGATACAAAAAGAGGCAAAAAAAAGTCTCTGCCCTTAAGGAGCTTACAATCTAATGGGGAGACAATATATAAATAAATACATACATACATATATAATAAATAGGAGGCAATCAACAGAGGAAAGGCACTGGAATTAAGAGGGATTGGGGAAGGCTTCATACAGAAGGGACTTAAAAGGGGGCCACAGAAGTCAGTAGTGAGAGAAGAGGAAGAGTGTTTCAAGCATGGCGGGACAAGTAGAGCAACAACATTTCAAGCTGGGAAGTGCAATTGTTATCACCTCCATTTTACAAAGGAAGGAGCAAAGTGACTTGCCCAGAGTACCATTGCTGTTAAAATTATGGAGTGGGATTGGAACCTAGCAATCTGGGTTCCAAATTCAGCATGGTTTTCTCTATCCCACACTGATCCACACACAGAAAATGGTTAAAATGCCAATTTTTTTTTACTTAAGTATTTTCTAAGTAGTCTGTGACCATTAAATAGGAGGAAAAGATTTAATTTGGTCATTAATTGACATCTAGGTGACTTGATTCCATGATTTAGGTAGAGAGACCAGCTTCCTATATTAAATTTTAGTGATAATTTAGTTTTGATACTCAGAATGGTTTAGCAACTAAATTTTAAATTTAGCTATGGAGTTTGATGTAAATTCTCAACTTACAGCATGCCCTGGGAGAACATTCCCTGAAGCCCAGAGCAGCTCTAGGTTGGAAACCAAATGAAAACTTTGTCATATATTTTGTTTTCAACTACAGCAAAATCACATTACAATCTATCTTGCCAGGTGTGTTACATGTATTTAAATATATTTAGGCAAACTCATTCTACCAAGACTTTAGCAATACACAGTTCTAAAACCAACTTCTTATTTTTCTTTTAATGTGCAAACTCACTTGATTCTTACTTATTCTTCCTTTTTCTTACCATGGGCAAGTCTTTCAGGATTTGTATTCCATCTCCTGGACCCATGTGTGCTATGTGGTTAAAATTAGTTGGGTTAGAAATTAATTTATTTCTCATTTCTGGATCACGAAGCATCTCCCTGTAAGAGAAAATGCCTAATTTAGACACTCGTTCTATGAGTTAAGCTGGGCATTTACAGAAACAAGTACATTTTCAGAAAAAAAATCTGAAACCATCTAAGAAATTGCTCATGTTAATATGAAGGATAACCCTTAGTGCAGTTGTTCTTCTATGTCAGCCTCAAACTTGCAGAAAGGGAAGAGGGGAAGTTCTGTCTTGCAAGCCAATATATGCACCCATAAAAATTCCAAATCGTGACTGAGGCAGAGAATTAACAGTCAGAGTGAGCTGAGATCACATTCAAGAAAAGATGCAGAAGGGGGATGCAATGGTGACCTGGTTCTTCTTCGAAGTTGGAGAAGCCAAAGGACAGAAAAAAATATAATTAGAATAATACTGCACTATTGTTCATGTTTGGAATTAGAATTACCTTAGCAGTGTTTTGGAAGATATCATTTAGGCATTCAATAATACAACAACAACAAAGTAAATAAAATATCCCCCAAATTTACCTTGACATTCAGAGTTAAAAATTAACATTTCTGCTTTTATATTGTAGCTAGTGCTTTTCTTAAGGCAACACAGAAACTATAAGAAAAGGATCCAGGACCTTTTCAATGGAAAACTGAGTGAGTAGAGAAAGAAGATATTCACCTCTTTGAAGAAGTTTCAAATAACTCATAATTTCTGGTGGAAAATAGGACCTCATTCAGTCAAAGACATAAAAAAAAAATCTCTGCCCCAGACAATTCTGGACTGTTTTATTGTTTATCGTTAAAAATTATAACATTTGAGATATTTCTATATATAAGTGGAATCATTACCTGTTTTTTGCCTATACATTTACAGAAATTCCAGCAAAACTGTTAGCAAGATAATACACCATTAATGAAAAATCTTATAGTAAATTCACAGACTGTACAAGAGTAATACCCTTAAATAAAGGAAAGCAGAACCAGAGTCTAAAGGTATTTAATCCATATTTACATTTAGTGTCATTTCTTCTTTTATAAAATGTTTATTAGAGCTCTTCATATGTACAGTTTAGAGTATATACACACATACGTGCTATATGTACCCAATTTGTGGAGGCATGCATTTCAAATTACAGCTATTGCACACATTTATTTAGAAATCCAAATAATATACTTGAATCTAATGCATCTTTACAACCATAGAAGAATTAGTTCAAGTTATACAGACAAGATAAAACACATTGCTGAACTGACACACACACAGGTGTCTGACAGAGTTTCAGAGACTGACTTTGGCTTTCACACAAATAATACAGCACTGTCACCAAACAATGGTCCTTCAGGGCCTACAGGCATGGACAGAAGACAAATATAAGTTAAATACCGACCTCCTCTGTTGCATCCTTTCCTCTTCTGGGACTCTGAAGGAATAACGCCTTTTATTATTGATGTTTCGAACCATTTGTTTCCGGCTATTATCTGATGTTTCAGGGACTACTAGCTCATCCCCCTCTATTAAAAACAAAATGAGTTTGAATTTAATTAGCAAATAACTTGAAAAATTCAACAACATTGCTCTATAATCTGCTAATCTGCTTTTATCTTTTATTCATTAACTTCAAAGAAATTTGCAAATGTCAAGGAATTATTATTTTCATCATGATAATAAAGGACATTTATATACAGTGTTTTAAGTTTTGCAAACCATTTTGCAAATATTATCTCATTTGAGCTTTATTACATCCCTGTCAATTAAGTACTCCATGTATTATCTTCATTTTTCAGATGAGAAAACAGAGGTTTAGAGAGGTCAGGTGACTTGGCTACGTTTACTCAACCAATAAGTATCAAACGTGGGATTCAAATCTTGGTTTGCCTTACTCCAAGTTCAGCACTTGATTCACTACACTATGCTATAAGGATGTGCTATGATAAAACTACCATAAAAAAAAAAAACAAAATGAGGGACAATGAATTTATGAAATATGATGTATTCATGACAGAGCTGGACCAGTTCTGGATGTTATGATTAGAAATTAAGATATGGCACCCTCATGATGACATTCAGATGGTATAAAACAGCTACTAACAACTTATGTATGACTTGCAAAATTTTACTAAGAGAGAATAAATATTAGAAAAGATGAATGATTTTCAAAATGAACCCTATCTCTAATAATTTAAATAGGGTCTTGTATTGGCTTGTGGCAGAACTCATAATTTTCAATGGATGTATATGTAATGTCATCTTATCTAAGTATATACTGTATACTTTTAGAGTACATAATGTACATTTCAAAATCAATTTTTAATAATAGGTTTAGAATCCTGCTTTAAGGTAACAGGTTGTAAAATGACTGTTTTTTTCAATTGAAGTAAATTAAACATGTATTTACTCAACAACTATTATAATGTTCAACACTACAGGTACTGTAGGGGAAATATCTATAATACTATTTGTTTTCAAAGAGCTTACAATCTTGTTGGGAAGGCAAGATATGAAACAAAGAATGAAATACATAACAATGTTCTCAACTGAATATAACAGATTGCCATGACAAAAGACCAAAACAAATGCTAGGAGGTACTCAAAAAAAGGACCTGATATGTGGGCTAGAGTTGTAGGGGAAGGCTTCATGAAGGATATGGGTCTTGAAAGGCCTCAAGAGATTAGTATAATAAAGAGAAGGGGCAGGGATTAGATTACAAATTCCTTGATGGCCAGGCTGTGTGTTGTCAAAAAACAAAATTGGCACAAATCTGCTAGAAACAATTCTCTTTAATTTAACATTAATCTAATATGCATTTCTAGCTTGGATAGAAATATCTAAAATGGAATAGCTGCTAATGTCTTTTGATATCAATGTCCCAAGATGATTTCAGGTAACATTTATAAGAATCCCTAAGAAACTATAATAGTTAAAAATGCAGTTTGGGTTAACATTCTAGCCAAGTAGAATAACTAGGCTACACCCCATTTCCTCCTGGACCACTCCCCTTGAGGAATCAAGGGGGTTCCTCCTCCTTACTCTGAATGGGAGATAGAGAGGGTGCTTTTCCTTTCAACAAAAGAGGGCATTTTCCTTGGGTGAGTCCTCGGGCACTCTTCTTTGGGAGAGTTCTGCTACAGTTTAAGGGAAAAGTGTTGAGAGCCTGAACTAAAGTGGTAGTTGTGTGAGTAGAGAAGGGGTCAGCTGTCAGAGATGTTGTGGAAATAGAAAGAGCAATATCTGGCAAATATGTTGGTAAAGAAATGTTACTGTGATTTAGGTTAGGACGTAGAAGCAGCTTCATTCAACAGAAGTGGTCATGACAATGTCTGACTCCTAGATTCCTTTTCTTTTTTTTTTTTTTTTGCTTTTCTGTGAGGCAATTGAGGTTAAGTGACTTGCCCAGGGTCACACAGCTAGGAAGTACCAAGTATCTGAGGACAGATTTGAACTCAGGTCCTCCTGACTCCAAGGCCGGAGCTCAATCCACTGTGCCACCTAGCTGCCCCTGACTCCTAGATTCTTAATTTATGAATTCCCTTAATATGACTATCATTTCCTTGACCAGATTTACCTCTGTACCGCTCCTATATATGCCTGGGACAGCCCCCCAAATCTATTTAACCTGCACTACAGCTAAACTAGGTGGCACAGTAGATAGATTGCTGGGCCTGGAGTCAGGAAGAACTGAGTTCAAATCCAGCTTCAGACACTAACTAGCTGTGTGACTCTGGACAAGTCACTTAATCCTGTTGCCTCAGTTTCCTCATCTGTAAAATGAGCTGGAGAAGGAAATGGCAAACCACTCTAGTATCTTTGCCAAGAAAACCCCAAAAGGGGTCACAAAGAGTCAGACATGACTTAAAAATGACTAAACAACAAAAATAGCATTATTAATATCATTACAACTAGTGTTCAGCTATAACATGGGTAAAATGGTTTTTCTGTGGATTTTCCCATTGGCCACTATTTCCATGGCAATATGTGCTTTAAGGGCCAAGTGAATGATTCATATTGCCTGCCTTGTCTCCTAGATTTTTTTTTTATGGTAGAACTAGCTACCAGAATGTCTAACTAAATGGCCATAAAATCAACCTTATAAGCCTCCTTGTTCATGCCATCTGAAAAATAAAATGACCAATAATTTAGGCAGAATGTTTTACGTTAAGCCTGAATAATCTACAGGCATATTAATAATATAATTCTGTATTGATATACTATATTTTGACACAAGCAACACCTTCCAATAGATACTCATACAAATCCCTCCAAAAAGTTTAAACTCCCAAACCACTCCCTGGCTGAAAACAGTTCAGCAAAACTACCTAATTTGATTTACGGGTGATTTATTAATGCCATTCTTTACCCTTTTAGTTACTAATTATTAAGAGAAATGGAGGTTATATGCTTTAACTTTGGTAGTTTAGTATCAACATTGTCCACTGAATTTGACTTCAGTTTTCTTGTGTTTTGGTATTTTCTTTAAATGGTATATAATTACATATTCTGTTCAGCAGTCTTTGTTGCTTCAGTTGCTGATTGTAGGATGAGCAATTGTCCCCTAGTCATACACATCTATATGGCATTTTTTTTTCCTATATGGCATTTTTGCTGGAAGGCAGTGATATAATAGAAAAAGCAATGAGTCTGTAGTCAGAGCATCTGGACTCCACTCCTGGTTTAACCACCTGTAGAACTCTGGGCAAACCACATAATTTCGTTAACCCTCAGTTTCTTCATCTTCAAAATATAGGATTATATTAGCTCTCAAATGTATTTTCAAGAAATAAATCTGATTTGAAATGAATTTCTAGGACAAATTTATTGTATCAAATCATAACTTTCCATTTCAACATAGTTTGCTAGCCCAACAGAGACGATTTAATTTCTTTTGGGGGGAATTTAGAAATTGGAGGGCTTTATGACAGTCTATTATTAAGTAATGAATTAAGTAATGAAGGGACATACTTCGGAAAGTCCATTAAGTTCTGGCCATTAAGAACAAATAAAGAAAACTATTACAATAGCCCTATAGAATCTCAGATTACCAGAGACCCCTTAGTCTGCCCTGATTCCTGACCAAAAATTCTTATACATCAACCTAAGCCTCTCCTTGAATATCTCCAGTGAGTGGACATTTAGTAAGTGTGCCAGCACTTGTGCTAAATGGTGGAGAAACAAAGACAAAAAATGAAAACTCCCCTGCTCTCAAGAAGCTCAGGCTGAATCTGATTCTCAGCAACTTTCATACTATGCTCCCAGTTCTCATCTCTGGGACCAAGTAGAATAAATCTAATATCTCTCTTAGATTGCAGTCCTTCAAACACTTGAAAAAAGCTGTCATCTTTCGCTCTCCCTACCATTAATACTTCTTTTTTCCAGACTGGCTAGCCCATGTTTTTCAGCTGATTCTGGTATGGCATAGTTTCCAATCACAAAAGTCACATCCACAAAGAGATTATTTTTATATAAGTATTTTCATTAAGACTATATTTCCCCCTTACCTGCCATCTTATTTTTGAAATATATTAATCTAATTGTCTCCAACCCTAAAAGGTTTAATGATCCTTCTGTGTTCAAGGGTCGCACCTAAAATAACAAAAAAGAAAATGATTATTTCAACAAATTAATACAAAATCAGATTGTAAAACTATTAGATTATTAATGAATATACACCATTAAGAATTTCCCTTCATCCTTCTTACTACAAAAATTGCAGTCTCAAATATAACTTGTGAGAAATGTAGAGTGATGCTATTAATTCTGACTCTGAAGGTATGAAAGACAGAACTTGAAATACCAACTCACAAAGATTAAATAAGAATCTCAGATAAAATATGTCTATTATTTACAAGTGCTTTTCCTTTAAATGAAATAAACTATTTAATTAAAATGGCCTTTTTGGAGTCATTTGTGACTACAACTCTTAATGTGACAAAACAATAATATATCTCTTGTGCAAGTTCATAATGTCTTAAAAATGTTAAAGTGAGATAAAGGCCAATTTTTTATTTCTTCAGTTTTTTATTCTTTATAAAGAACTAATTTTGAAATTGGACAATTACTGAAACGTAATTTGACACTTTTTTTTCCTCCTGCATAGCATGGTGTACAAATATATCTTTATGAAATCCTTCTTATTCACTCAAATGGCTGTTCTCAGCATGGCAATTTTCTATTTGTCAAGATTGTGATGTAACATGAAAAAAAATGTTTTTTTGAAAAAAATTTGAACCTGTAAAATCCTAACTTTTTCAATTGTGAGAAGTTTATCCACTGCCTTAGCCACAAATTTCATAACTGTTTAGCTCTTTGTAAAGATATATTACATTAATAAACAGAAACCAGTCATAAACTAAAGATTATACATGATCGAGGTCCTTTTTTTTTTTTAAATCAATATGGGGGAGGGAGGGTTATATTCATCTTAAAGGTAGGAGAATATAGTTTTTAAGCAGCCATAGTCACAGCTATATGATGGAATCAAATATAACAAAGTCCATGGTACATATTGATATACCTATAGTAAAATTTATCATTTGTTCCTCTTGTACTAATTTTTCCCCTTACTTGTAAAGAAGACTCCAAATTATCAACTATTTTTTCTGTCTTTCAACTCTTAACTTTTTTTCGTCTTTCCTAAAGACTGTTCCTAACATTTCAATTTTCCATCAGTAATTCACGAAGCAAATATCTTTAGGAGTGTAGCACACTGTTGCTTAACTACATTGTAGAATTACCTTCTTGAGGGGGATTGTCTGAATCCATTCCATGGAATTGACATCAAATATATCAACTGCATTTTCACTGTACACTGAGAGGTATGGTGCATTGTAACCTAAGGGGAATAAGGGACAATAGCACATTTAAAATTTAAAATTAACCAAGTATCTTTAATTATGCTATTTATTAAAGATTAGATATATTATACATTTTAAGTAAAGTACACAATACATTTTCCAAGATATGAGAATGAGTTATTTCTTAAGTATTTCATTCAGCATTCAGCACACACAAACTACTACCCTTAAACTCCTCGAAAGTAGATACCAGTGTTATATAAACTTTGAATCTATCCTATTGCCCTATATGCAGTAGGTTGTTGATGTTAACAATAAATTAATTAGCTTAGTGGTTATTTTCCTATTTATAGTTATCATGAGATTTTTATTAACTATATTTTGGGTGAGTATAATGACATCTAGGGCAGCTAGGTGGCACAGAAGATAGAGTGTTGGGTCTAGAGTCAGTAAGACTCATTTTCCTGAGTTCAAATCTGGCCTCAGAAAATTAATAGCTGTGTGATCATGGGCAAGTCACTTAAACCTGTTTGCCTCAGTTTCCTCATCTGTAAAATGAGCTGGAGAAGGAAATGGCAAACCACTCCAGTATCTTTGCCAAGAAAATCCCAAATGGGGTCACAAAGAATCAGATACGACTGAAATGACTGATAATTAACCACAAAATAATTTCAAACTCCATCCAAGGTAATTATCCCAATGCAACATACAGATATTAATTTTAGGTCTTTAGCTTATATCATTACAGCCTTAAATATTAATTCTGTTGGCCTAGAGTTAATTTCATTACACTTACTATTAATGGTCCCTGAAGAAGCATGGTAAATATTTTGGAAAAACTTTAACTAATTAAAAAAAAACAAAACACCTGAAACCTGTTATTAATTCTGGTAGAATAGGGCAGTTAAGAGAAATAAAGATAAGGTAGGTACAGGTAGGCAACTCTTACAGCAGGAGGATGGTACTGCAGGCCACATCAGTTCTTGCTGTCTTGATCTTCTGCCCTGGCAGTCAATATATATTCCAACGCTGCTAAAACACAGCAGATACTCTTTATTGGAGATCTCGACCGCGCAGATTGCATCAGTTGGCTGTTGTGCAATAAACGACAGTGTATGGTCATCTGGATGGAGCAAGCTGTGTGGATTGCCTTCTCCAGGCAAAGGATATCTGAGGAATCCTGATTGGAATCCCACACAGAGTCGTTCACTGAAGACTGACATCCATTGGACATTACCCAGGACTTGGATCTCCTTCATTTTTTTGTGACGGGTCTTGCTTTGATTTAGTTCATAACAGAGGACTTGCCTTTTCATAGCCACACACAGGCAGGTAAGAGCTCCATGGCGCACCTGTCCAGAAGCTATGGTTTGGCAACCTTTAGTCTCTGCCAGCTTAAAAAATTCAGTCTCTCGTCCATCCAAAGCAGACATGGGGAAAAGTCGCACGTGGCGGTTTCGTCCTGAGATCACAGCAATGAGCTGTTCATTTGGGATGAGTTCAATCTGATGAACCTTCTTATTGTCACCAACACGAATAATCTCTACACAAATAAAAATTAGAATAAATTACTTAAGACAGACAATATTATATTATGGTTCTATGTGAAAGCATAAACATTGCATTGTAATTATATATAAACATAATTTATCTGAAATAACACTTTTTCTGGTTGTTACTTCTGGTGGCATTAATATAATTATGAAAAATTCAAGCAAAATTGTATTCCCAGCTTTATCACCTATAAGATTGCCATCTGAGTACTTAATTCTAATTATTACTGATGATAAAGTAAGAAAAATAACTGAAGTTTTAGACCCTACAGGGAACATGGAGCACTGGAAAATTTAAAACTGTAAACATATAAAAAAAAAGAGTTGTAAAATTTCAGTTATAAAATAAACAAAAGATAAAATCTTGATACTGTTAGTTTTCTTTTTCCTGATACATATGGTTTAAAGTTATCCAAGATAATAAAGTTTTTCCTTACCATCTTTTGTGACATGCACAACAAATAACCCTTCTTCATTTCCCAGAGCTATTCTTTCATGATCTATGACACATAAATAAAAAGGTCAAGAATTTTCATATAGTAAATACTACTTAAAACCAGCAGGGTAAATTAGGTAAGTGTCCTAATACAAATAATAAGTTGCCAGACAGAAATTTAAATAAAGGTTAACAAGAATTGCAGGTGCAGTATATAAAATAGAAAAGAAATTAATTACAATAATTCATTTATACAATTCATTTTCCTTGCAAGAAAAACAGTATTACCTATCTCAAAAGACAATGATTGAAAGATCAAAAGCCTGATCATTGCTAAACAATCTTTATCAATACTTTTTTAAACAAGTGAGAACTAAAACAAAGATAAGCTTCCATGCCAGCTATAATAATATTTATAATCAGAAAAAATAGACAAAGATCTGAGTTTGAGTTCCATTTTTTTGCTTAATGAGGACATAATGTGAAAGGAAGAACTTGATATAGTTCTACAGGGTGATTTAGAACCAATTTTACCTAGCCAATTTAGACTCAATAGATGATAATAAAAACTAGTGTTTATATAGAGTTCTAAGATTTACAAAGCATCACATTTATACGATCTCATTTGATCCTCCCAACAACCCAGTAAATGAGATGCTATTTTTATCCCCATTTTACAGATAAGGAAACAGACTAAAAGGGGTTAAGTGATTTGCCTGGGGTTATGTAAGTGTTAGAGGATCCACTGAACTTCCAGACCTAGTTAAGCAAGGTAACTAAAGAGTCTAGGTATGAGGTGTATGAGAAAGTAAATACTTCATACACATATAATTAGAAATGAAAACTACAGAAAATGATCAACATCATCACTGCCCATGATACTGCTGTATAGCTTGACAAGTCTTGACAGCAAGGTATTTTCACTGACAGAAAAAGGATTCAATGTTGATCAGACAATTCCCACCTATGATGGCTGCTGCTTGGGTTGTTTTAATGAGGGGGAGAGTGCTGTCATAGGCCTCTTTAGGCATGTAGACTGAACGGTCTTTAAGTTTATTCTTCTTCAAAATCCTGTGCAGTTCATTCAGTAAGCACACCCATTTGCTCTTCTCATTCTCACTATCTGCTAACATCAGGACTGAACATTTGTTACTTGATGCTGAAAGCTGAGAAGCTGTTACCTAAAAAAAAAATAGATTGTTAATACATTAGGAAACAAGTATTTTTATTCTAGCTTAGTTTCTGACATATCAAAAAAGAGCACAAGTGACAGCCTTTAAAATGGTTTTTTTTTATTGACATCACCAACACAGTTAAGTAGTTTCTCATTAACAGAATAACTTATTATCAGCATGAGAATTCATGACAAAAGCAAAGGTGAGAGAATCTGCAAAATGCTAGTATTAAATTGCTTTTTCCGGTCATTAACATATTTGGATATTTTCACTAAACAATATACTATACGTATGCTGGAAACTAAATGTAGTTTGTTAAAAAACACATCAGAAATGTTCAGAAAGATATATTCTCTGGCTGTTGTACACTGACATTTTAGATTAAAATGAAAGTGAGATTACTTTGCATGAGTGTCAGCTCATTTCCCACCTTTGGCAGCAGGCCTCTGCCATCTCCATCTCCAATACTCTTCCTACCCCCCTGCCTCTTCTCTTAGAGATTACCTCCCATTTTTAATGTATAGACCTTACACTTACAGAGTTGTGTGCATGGTGTCTTCCTTGCTAAACTGTGAACTCCTTGAGGACAAGGACCCTGTTCTGACCTTTCCTTGTATCCCTAGGGTTAAGTACTGTGCTGGTCACTTCATAAGTGCTAATTAAATGAATGCTATGCTCTTCAAATACTTGAAGATACCTACAAATGTTCACTTTGCCTTCCATTCTCACTCCCTACTTAATAAATTCCAGTGGCTCCCTGCTACCTCTAGAATCAAATACAAAATGTTCCATTTTGGCAGAATGCCATTCAAAATCCTTTATAACCTAGCCCCCTCCAACCTTTCCAATCTTCTTAAACCTCACTCCCCTTCTTCAATCCAGTGACAACAGCCTCCTGGTTATTCCATGAACAAAACACACTCTCTCTCTACCCTTGGTGTGTTCTCTGACTGTCCTCCATCCTGGCAGGCTCTCCCTCCTCTGCTCTGCCTACAGACCTCCCATGTAAAATGCCTGCTTTTGCTGGAAACCTTTCTTCCGTTAATTACTTCCTATTTATCCTGTATATAGCTTGCTTTGTATATATTTGCTTGCATGTTGTCTCCCCTGTGAGACTGCGAGCTCCTTAGGGGCTGCGACTGTTTTTTGTCTCTTTTTGTATCCCCAGAGTTTAGTACTGTTCCTGGTATATATATATAGTCCGTACTTTATAAATGTTTACGGATTAGTTTCAACACATGATTATTAGAAGGCATGATCTTGAGGTCTTCACATTATTCTAGTTACTTTCTTCAGGACATTCTTTGGCTCATTAATATCCTTCCTAAAGTGTACGATACTATACTCCAAACTTGGTTTGACAAGGGCAGCACTATCACCTCTCTAGTCTTGGACTCCATGCCTTCCTTAATGCAACCTAAGACTGCATCTATTTTGGTTACCGTATCACACCACTGAATCACATTAATCTTATGATCCGTTAAAACTTTCCAATTTTTTTCAGACAAGTTGTGATCTAGTCAAACATATCTATGTCTTCTTACCCTGGAAAAACCTATTCCCTCTTCCTACTTCTTACCTGTGGTCCCTCTTTTCTCACTGACGAGTTCTTCCTGAAAAATTCTATTTTGAGCAATGGCCCAGGTGAGCCCTTCACTCCCCTCCAAGCTCTGCTTCTCACTGACTGGAATTCACCACCACATCCCCACATGGAATTTTGTGTGTTGACTTCCTCCACTAGAATGTAAGCTTCTTGAGGGTAGGGACTATATTTCTTTTTGGCTTGTATTTACATCTCAAGGAGTTATTGTATTCAGTGCATGACATAGAATAAGCATTTAATAGATAATCTGTTGATCTGACTTACCAATATATATGGAATTGGATTTTTGAACCAAATTTAAAGAACACCATATTTTAGAATTCTGGTAAGGAGAAAGTCAAGCTCACGGGCCGATAGTTTGTAGAGTCTATTTTCTCTCCTTTTAGGAGGATGTTTGCCATCTTCCAAACCCTGAATAGCTCTCTGATTCTTATGACCTTTCAAAGATTACTGATGCTGGTTCAGAAATTACATCTGCCAATACTTTCAGTACCCTGGGATATGATTCTTTCAGAAATGGTTGCTTAAACTAATCAAATATAGCTAGGAGTTCTCTTACTACTTCCCTATTTATCATGGTTAACAACTATCTATTGACAATTTTTGATTTGTCCTTTCTAGCCCAAAGATCACTCTTTTTGAAAGAGAAAATAGAAGAAAAATAGGGGTTGAGCATCTCAGCCTTCTCTCATGTTCACTACCATAGTCTCATCTCTGTTCTTCGGAAGCTTACAATCTAGATATAGACACAGTATATATTCAGGAGAAAAATTTAGACTTGAGAGAATAAATTCTAGCATATACACTTACCCTAAAGATACAGGGGATATCCTTTCGGCTTGCATGAATAACATCAGATGCCAAAACTGAACTCACGGAAAACTCTTCATCTCTGAAAAAAGCAAAACAGTTAAAGTGAGTTACTGTTTCTTCTTATTATTTTATTTTTAAAGTTTTAGTTATTGTTTATTTATTTATATGAATATTCAGATAAGTACAAGTAGCAGCCCTCAAAATGGAATTTTAAGGAGCAGCTAGCTGGCACAGTGGATAGAGCTCCAGCCTTGGAGGACCTGAGTTCAAATCTGGCCTCAGACACTTGACACCTACTAGCTGTGTGACCCTGGGCAAGTCACTTAACCCCCACTGCCAACAACAACAACAACAACGTAATTTCATAATGAAAAGAACACTCAAATCTGATTTTAAAACAATTTCTTTTTCTCCCAATTAAACTGGTAGGCAACAGCCAAAATATTCTGCAAGGAGTACAATATTATCTTGAATCAGAAATAATTATGAGCTTTGAAGACATAGATTTCATAATATAATTTGCTTTCGAGGATAAGGCAATAACAATTCCTCATTAGAGAATCCTCCAAAGCTAAAAGTTTTAATTATTTAATTTTTCTCATTCATACTTTAAATTAAAAAAAATCTTTTCCATTATTAAGAAAAATTTCACTTTCCTTTGGCCCAAACAGATAGGAAGGCCTGATTGCATATTATGTACCAAAAAGATTTAAAATATAAGACTCTTAATGAGATTTTATTGAATATATATCTATATATCTACATCTCTCTCTCTACATATATATTTTGCCTACATTTCAGATTGGAATTGTTCTACAATATGATCTTCAAGAATTAATAATATCTGAAACCATTATACAATGTTTTTTTCTTTTGTGAATATATTTTATTAATGATACAAAAAACTTTTTTGCTCTCCTAAAAATATTTTTAGTCAGGACATTTTTAGTGAGAGCAACGTGCCTGAATATGCTCAGTTATTTTAAAACACATTTTTGTTAATATATTTGTTTTTATATTACCAAGATTTTTCTGAGTATCTGTCCCACTCCTTATGAGCTATTCCATCTTACAAGTAATTTTTTTTAAAAAATTTGATTCACTTTAAAAAATATAAAATGAGAAAAAAAGAACACTTCCATGTACATAGCAGAACATAAACAGAGAATTCAATATAAAGCTATAAATTTCCATTTCAGACTTTACTTTTTTTTTTTAAAACTATGTAGTAAGTACTACACATTGTTTTCAAAGCTACCCAACTTTTCTTTGCTTTCTTCTAAGTTTTTGTTTGTTCTCCGCTGTGAACTTTTTATTTATTTTTTCTTCCCTCCCCAATCCACTCTAGAGAAGGCTAAAATCAAACACAAATCTGTATTTACATATACATATACATATACATATATATTTCTACTTATCAGTTCTTTCTCTGGAGGTAAATAGCATCTTCCTTCACAGGTACAAGTCTTTACATGTTTTTCTAAACTCAATCAGCTCAGCCTTTCTTATATCACAGGTAGATTCCATCATAATCATATACCACAACTTGTTTAGCCATTCCTCAATTGAAGGGTATGTATTATTTTAGCCAATTTGACAAGTGGAAGATGATACCTCAATGTTGTTTGAATTTGCATTTCCTCTAATCAATAATGATTTAGAGCATTTTTTACATGACTATGTATAGTTTTGATTTCTTCACAGAAAAACTGCCTGTTCATATTATTTCCTAAGTAATTTATGTTTTCCAATTATTGGAAACGAGATTATTGAATTCTATTGTTTTTGATTCTACCTTGTCTAGTTTGTTCCTATGAACTACTTTTCTACTTTTTAACCAACATCCAGTGATTTTGATGGCTATAGCTTTATAATATAGTTTGAGGTCTAAAAGTGCTATTTCCCCTCTATACCTACCTTTTTTCATTATTTCCCTTGACATTATAGATCTTTTGTTTCTCCAAATGGATGTTATTACCTTATCGAGTTCTGTAAAGTATCCCTAATGCAGTTAGATTGAAAAAACATTAAAACTGTAAATTAACTTTGGTAGTATAGGCATGACTGAGTCGAGGGCACTTGAACACTTGAACACTCCTCCAAATTCCTTAAATTGTTCTTTATTCCTTTAAAGAGCACTGTGTAATGGGATGTATTCAAGTATTTGGTGTGCTTTGATAGACTGACCCCCAAATATTTTAGAACTTTTGAATGAGGTTTTCATTTACTATTTCTTGAATTTTGTTATTATTAAACAGAAGGGCTATTGATTTTTATGTGCTCATTTTGTAGCCTGCATGGTTGGTTGCTGAAGCTACTGTCTCAGTATTTTTGCTGATTCCCTAGGAATCATTTCATCAGTGAAATGTCATATCATCATTAAATGGTTTTATCTCCTTTTAACCTGTTTTAATGACTTTAATTTCTTTCTCTTGTCTCATTGCTAACATTTCTAAAACTATATCAAATAATAGCAAGAAGAGTAGGAAGCCTTGCTTTACTTTTTTAAGATTTTACCGAGAAACTTTATAGTATATCCCCATTGCATATGACACTTACTTTTCATTTTAGATAAATACTTCTTGTAGTATTTTACAAATTCTCTATGTCTATATCTTGTGTTTTTAGCATAAATTAAAGTTATGCTTTGTCACGGGGTCATGAAGAGTTAAACACGACTTAACAACAACGTCACAAGCTTTTCTGGCATCTATTGAGATAATCGTGTGGTTTTGAATGTTTTTGTTTTTAATACGATTAATTTTGTTTACTGCTTTCCTACTGAAGAAGTAGCTTTGCATGCCTGGTATTAATCTAATTTGTTCATAATGAGTAATTCCTTGGATAAATTGTTGCAGCTTGTTTGAGAGGTTTTTATTTAAAATTTTTGAATTCACATTCATTAATAATATTGTTCTATAGTTCGTCTGTGCTTTATCCTAACCTGGTTTAGATACTGAGACTATGTGTGTCTCATAAATGGAGTCTGGTATAGCATTTTCTTTTTAAATTTTTGTGAATAATTTGCATAGTATTAGTACTAATTTTTTCTTTAAAAGTTTGATAGAATTCTCTTGTCAATCTATCTGGGAACAGGAATTGCTTTTTTTTTTTTGGTTTGTTTGTTTGGTAGTTCCTTTACAGCGATTTCTGTTTCCTTTTCTGAGAACAGAGCATGTAAGATCTCTATTTGGTCTTTTGTTAATTTGAGTAATTTATATTTTAAAAGTATCTCTGTATTTCTTTTATGCTTTCATTTTTGTTAGTATAAACTAAAATTGTGCATAGGAAGTTATAATTATTTTTTATTTCTTCCTGTTTCGTGATTTCATGTTGATTATTTACTATTTTATTGATTTTCTGTCCTCTTTAATCAGGTTGGCAGTTTTTTCAAAGAATCCATGGTTAGTTTTATTATTTTCATATTCTTTTTTTTGGTTTCCAATTTGTCTATTTCTCCTCTAATTTTAAATAACTTCTCTTCTGTATATATTTTGATTTTGTTCATTTGGTTTAACTTTTGATTTTTTTTCTAATGCATATTAAGTTCATTAATCATTTCTACTGTGTTAAGGTATGCTTTAGGGATATAATTATTTCCCTGAGGACTGTTTTAGCAGCATAGCAGAACTTTAGGCATATAATTTCATCATTATAATTTTCTTTCACATAATTACTGTTTCTACATTTTGTTCTTTGACCCATTCATTATTTATGATTTCATTGTTAAGTCTTCATTTGGGTCTATGTGCTCCTTGAACTGATTATTATGTTTTTTCTGTTTATGTCCGAGAGGACATTCGTGTTCTGCTATTATTGTATTATTGTCTGTTTTCTTGGGATTCAATTAAATTTTTTTTTTTTAACAAATTTAGAGGCTACGAATTTGGAGCATTTAAGTTTAATATTGATATTGGTTTGTTGTTTATGGTTCCTTTTCAGCAAAATGTAGTTTCCCTATTCATCTGTATGTTTTGAATTTTTGTTTTTGCTTTAATAGCATGATTGCAAGTCTAGCCTTTTCTATTTCACCTGATGCATGGTAAATGCATTATTTCTAGCTCCTCATTTTTATTCTGTATATGTCTTTGCTTTTTAGGTGTGTTACCTATAATTTTTTTTGGATTTTGATTTCTTATCCAATCTGTTGTTCTATTGTTTTATTGTGTTGTTTAATCCATTCATATTTAAAGATATGATTTGTGTTTACATTTTCTTCCATTTTTATCTAATATTCATTGTATTCTCTATTAGGATTTTCTTCATCATCCTCTATGAAGTCAATACTTTGCCTCATTATATTTGGTTAATCTATTTTAAAGCAACCCTCTCGTCACCTCAACTTCCCTCTCTTCCTTTTCCCTAGTATTGGTAATTTACTTCACTTTTTAATTCCTTTTCTTCCTTTTATCCAGTCATCTAATTCTTTCTTTTTTTTCCTTCCAGTTAAGTAAAATCTTCACCTCCTTTCCCTTTCTTCTATTGCTAATATAGGTAGCAACAGACAAAAAAAAATTAACTGTTAGGGATTTCAAAGTACCGCTTTCATCTGAAATGTTTTCAGACATGTGGAAGAATGAACAGGTCAATGAACAAATCATAGAAACAATAAATAATTACATAAGATCATAGTATCATAGATATAAAGCTAGAAAGTAACTTGTAGTTCTATCTATTCCTTTCTCTACAGATTAAGGGACTGAGGCCCAGACAGATTAAGTGTCCAAGGTCACACAGGCAGTACATATCAGAGGAAGGATAGAACCCAGATTTTCTGACTTTAAATCATGCATATTTTCCACAATACCATATTGTCTTAAAGAAAATGCTAAGAATGAATCAACATATTAAAAATTTATGTTGTAGCCAAAGCAGAGCTTAGACAAAAATTTATAACTAAAAATATAAACAAATAGAAAAGTGATCAGTGAATCTTATTAAGTAATAACTCTGCATTCCTATTTTACTGTGATGAAAAACGCTTTCACCTTCTCAACTTACCTCATATCAATCACTTGACTGACTACCACACTGGGTTGGGATGCTTTTCCTTCAGCTATATCATATAGGAAGAGTTTGAAGTCACAAACCACAGCCAATGCTCGCTGCCAACCTTTCTTCACTCCAGCTGGTTTGGGGACCTTTAATTTTGATTAAAAAAAAAAAAGAAAATGAAAGTAAGAAACAGAGTCATCAAGTTTATGAAAATACAAAGATACTAAAGATTCACTATCACCTTTATGTAGAGCTGTTACTAGGACACGGAATTTAGAGAGCTCTAACAGCACCTTCCTGGAGGGTGCTGCTTCTCCTGCCTAGCTCTACCACAGATTACTGCAGGAAGTTTCCTTTTTGTCCCACCCCATCACTGGCCTTCTTTTCTCCTGTGCCCAGCTCCATACTCTGTAATGGCAGCACAATTTTTCCAAGTGGCCAACTATCAACAGAGTAGAAATTCTGAGATATCTTCATGGTCTACTTCCTCCTACCAGAAGCCAATCTACCAATCCCTGCCTGAGGTATATTTTCTCCTCACAGGTAACACTGAGGTGAGCCCTGCCCTACCTCTTCTTCATGTTGATTGTCTCAGGTGAATATATCGCTATAGTTTTGCTGCTTCTTCTTTTTTTTTTTTTTTTGGTGAGAGACAATTGAGGTTAAGTGACTTGCCCAGGGTCACATAGCTAGTAAGTGTCAAGTGTCTGAGGCAGGATTTGAACTCAGGTCCTCCTGACTCCAGGGCTAGTGCTTTGTCCACTGTGCTAACCTAGCTGCCCCAGTTTTGCCTTTTTTCATATTGGCAACAGAAACAAATGAAAAGAATAAAACATGAAAAAGATAAGTTACTGAAATATTGAATAAGACATATTCAGTATCAGGTAATCAACAGCATTACTTTCTCCTTTCATATGTCTGCTCTGGAAGGTAAACCTAGAAACTCAATTGTCAGTTTGGGTCACCTGATATCTCTGAAAAGTATTTTTAATAAAAAGTGGTAGAATTTGACTTTAATTGTAATTGATTAATAAAATTACATAATAACATGCTTTCCCCATACCAGTGACTCTTACCCTAACATGGCCTTCATATGCTGTTCCAACTCCTTTTTGTGGGTCTATTCCCAGAGGGGCTTTTGTTTGTTCAGGAGGAATTGGACAAAATGCTGGAGCTTTGTCCGCACAGGTAACATGACATGAAAATCCACATACTTAGAGGACAAAAAAAAATATGATATTATCTTTGTGATAATTTACTTATTAATTTAACCAGCAAATATCCACTATATTCTAAGTATGTGTAAGACACTGTCCTAAGTACATTCTCATACCTGTTTTTAGCTTGATCATTTTTAATGATTGGTTAAGTAATGGTTTTCTAAAAATGATATGTTTGTTTATTAGTAAGAAATTGAATGCAATTTATTAGAAGTAGGTGACAATATTCCTAGTATTATAATGATATTTGTTGTACATCTGATTAAAGTGACTGACTAGCATATATTTTAAAAAGCTAAAATCTAAAATGACCCCCTGTCATGTAAACCACAGATTTATATGACCTATTCATGCTTGATGCATTTAGGAAAAAGAAAAAAAACAACAACAACTATTCCTTCACAGGGATGCAAATGCCACCATCATAGAAATGTATATGTCAAGAGTGAATTTAACATCAAAATCAGTGATGCAGTTTTGTCATCTGTAATATCTTATGTAATTTACTTTATCTAAAAATGAGTCCTAAAGCAGAGCTCTCTTAGAAATTAATTTAGAATCAAAGAAAGAAGATACACAAAGAGAATTCTTTTGTGTCTCATTGTGAACTACTACAAAAATGAACATTATTTTTAAATAATCCAGTATTCTGAGCTCTTTACCACAGATAGTGGGAACACAATACACTTCAAACTTGGGTAAGGTTTTTAATTGCTCATTCCTTTTTTGTTTTTAATTAAAAAAAAAATTCTGGGTCTTCCCATTTTGCCCAGGCTAGAAGTACAAGGACTACTCATGGGCCTGATCCTAATACTGATTGGCAGAACAGTTTTGACCTGCTCTGTTTTCAACTTGGGCAGGTATGCTCCTCCTTAGTGCACCTGGTGGCCTCCTGGCTCCTGAGTGCTCACCATATCAATACTGAATTTAGTGCTGATATTCAGTCAGCATTGCCCAATGTAGCTCAGAACTCATGAGCTCAAGATAGCCACCAGCCTCAGTCTCTCAGTAGTTAGAATTACAAACTCATGTACTACCACACTGGGCTTAATAGATAATTTCTAGTCTTTTCAGTAATGTACAATGTATAGAGTTGTGAAAGACTGAGCACATAGGTCCTTAATAAATATTTGTTAATTGACTGAATATTATAAGTAAAAGCTTAGGTCATAATTTATCTGAATTGGAACAGTTTAAAATGTCAGTAACAATTATTGTGGCTGTTATGTTGTGTCAATATCACTACAATGCGTAGGTAACATTTCAGGAAAGACAGGTGTTATAAAGTGTTGTCTGAAATATACTTTATAATATTATGAAATGAATAATTTTTCTTCTACTGAATTCTAGTATAATTTCAGAGATATTCCTAAGAGAAAAAAAATTGACCCTAAGGCAAATAAATTTTATCTAATGTCAAAGTGTTATTCACTGGACCTTGATAAGCAATGAAAAATCTCTAACATAAAATCATTTATAAAAATATTTTGTGGTATAGTGAAAAAAACTTAGTCCATCTGAATGTGTATTGCCCTTTTAAACATTGGTGAAATTACACTCAAAGGGTACATTAAAAAGATTAAAGGAAAATTTTCATTTTTTCTTCGTCACAAAAGCATGTGGCTTCTGAACTATGAATTCTTCCCATTAGTGTTAACGGGAAATGAAACGTAACTCTTAGAGAATTCTTAGTTGCCATGAACTATCTTTCTATTTTCCTAAGTAATACAAATAGGTTAAGACGGATATTTATTCAGCAAATTGCTATCATTGTTTCTAAAATGTCTTAATTGCAAAAGAAAAATGAAATAAATGCTTTAAGCAAAAATCATAACTTCAGGATTTTAGCAGAATAAAATTGTGTGAATAATACTCTCAACTAAAAATATGAATCTAAATTTCCATTTTTTTACCTCTCCATTCTTACCTTCACAAGCACAGCCCTGTCTTATCAAACCAACCATCAGAGATGTGCACTGATTACATTTGGTAGGAGTGTTAAACGATTTTACTACAAACTGGTGGGCCTTCGGCTACGAAACAAATGGATAAAAGCATATGTTGACAGTTATTCTGTGATAAGGTAATTGCATATTTTCTTACATTATAACCTTATATAGAAATGTATCCTTGGCATGCTCATCTACATGGGCAAGTCACTTAGTGTTCTAAGCAATTCTCCAAGACTAAAAGTTGCAGAAAAAGTGCCAACCTGCATTGGTGGGAGGAGTTTCCTCATCTGGAAGTTCCTTATTTATCAATGAAATCATAGGTCTAGTCCCTATCCCTATTATACCCTAGATACTGGGTCATATATTACTCATAGTATCCCACAAAAGTTGTGGATTCTTCTTTAATATGATCTTGGAAATTTAAAAAAGAATACTGAAAGTTTCAAAATTAAGGTTGTAAGTAAATTCTATTCTCTTCCTCAATAAAAGCAGTACAAAAGTAAGGAAGGTGTAGCTTTCCTCTTCTTTCCAGAGAAACTTCAATCTTGGGGCAGATGATAGTTTTAGAAAGGCAGTGGGAAAAAGGGGTAGGGGAAAGGGATAAATATTTATATAGAATCGATTATGTGCTAGGCACTGTGTTACGCATTTTTTTTTTAAACAGATAATTCTCGTTAGATCCTCACAACAACTCTGTGGTAGTATTATTAGCCCCATTTTACAGATGAGGAAACTAAGGCAAACAACAGTTAAGTGACTTGCCTAGGGTCACAGTTTTAGCAAGTGTCCAGGTCTTCCTGACTCTAGGCCTGGTGCTCCGCATACTGTGCCACCAGCTGCCTCCATGACAGGCACTAGCCTTGTGTCCCATTCACTCTAGATATCTCTCTTTATACTGAAAACTGCAGGAGATGGAACTAAAAGCATCCTTCAAACTGCCTTGTCCAAGCTGCTCATTTTTTTATTTTATTTTATTTTATTTTTTGTTTTTGCTTTTTTTAGTGAGGCAATTGGGGTTAAGTGACTTGCCCAGGGTCACATAGCTAGTTAAGTGTCAAGTGTCTGAGGCCAGATTTGAACTCAGGTCCTCCTGACTCCAAGGCTGGAGCTCTATGCACTGCACCACCTAGTTGCCCCCAAGCTGCTCATTTTAGAAACAAGAAAGCTGCAAGAGGGAGGAGGAGTGAGCTCAGTGAGGAAGTGACAAGGCAGGGACTACAACTTTTCTTTTTTCTGACTTTCAGCTTGGTGCCCTTTCCACAACAACACACTGCATTCAAATCCGTATCTGGGCCAAAGTTTGAGATGAATTTATAACTTGTTATTCAAGAGAATTAGTGGAAAGGATATCAGGCTACATAAGACATGGTTATGTCATGCTTATAGGCAAAAGTGAAAATGATAATCATATGAATAACAGAACTTTAGATATTTTTGTCCGGTTAACATCACAAATATCTTTCATTTTTATCCTTCATATCAAGCACATTACAATTGTTTACATCTTAAGTTAAGAAACTTGCTGAAAACCAAATTAACTTCTTTCAACTATCTAAATATTTTCTACATGCAATGTTTAAAGTGAATTTATATATTTATCAGAAACTGACTAAAACTTTAAAACCATCAATTAATCTGTCCAAAGAAAAATATTTCATTTTTTTTCACTTCTGTTAATGAGAAGGTGATGCGTCCTTGAAACAAAAGTAGTAGAGGAATAGGAATAAATAAGTTTGAACTACAAAACAATTGTGTGCAGTGCCCAAGAAATCACTTTACATACTCATTATTTTTAGGTCTACTTAAGCAAATAGAGCTCTAATTCAGAATTCTATGGTTGTGGGGAAAATTCAGACTATTTTGGCAGAGTACTCTTAAAATGAAGGTGCATAATGTATTTAAAGTTATTAGCGCTTCTGGAAAAGATACACTCTTCCATTTTACTGAACCCATAAGAAAATTATATAACACAATGAAAGATTTTGATTGTATCAATTATTCTATAACACAGCCTAATTTTTATACACTGGGAGTGGGTGCTATAGAAAAATACATACAGATAATTATTCAAGTTCCTTATTTCCTTCCTTTTGGTCATAACACTGATCTTTAATGTTTCTGCCAAATGGTGAACGGGAATCAAAAAATTAAAACAGGCCAACATGTCCACTGCTCAGTAGCTTCAATAAACAATATGATATCAGAGGTTATTAAAGCTAGGATAATTTATGTTTGAAAATGATACAGCATTTTAGTACTTCTGAGAAGAGGCTAAAACTTCCAAAATCAAGGTCAGAAAGAAGAATCTTTCTTCCATTTCAGGTACTCGTGGGCTTTAGATTCTCTATGAGTAAGAGTAAATAGGTAAGATTAGATCAATAGAACATTTAAGAGTAAGAAATTACTCCTTGTTTCCTCTTCTGGAACTTTAAAATTTTGCCATGGGTAATTATGATTTCATTGCTGACAAATATATACTTTATGGGATTTTGATTTTTAATCTACTTCCTTTGAAAATACTACAGAATTTCTTTATGGGTATTTGAAATGACCACGTCCTTCTCTCTCTCTTATATTAAACAAAACACAGCTATATTGAATAGAATGAAAAAAGAATAATCCACCACAAATTTTCAGTGAAATGTATATCTTTTTACTGCCAGCAGTGTATATTACCATAGGGTCAAGAGAGGTAAACTTAAACTAGCATTATTCTCTACAACAATATGTAGAAGTCTAAGACACTTTAAAACAACTTCAAAAAAACAGAAAACAAGCAACTCTTAATCCATTCTTTCCTATAACTTATGTATATGAAATTGTATTGTTTCAAAAGGACAGTCTGAATAGGTTTGCTAGGAGCTTTACTGTGCAGAACTGTAGGAAGACCAGCAGGAAAGATCACAGTAACTGTACAAGTTAAAAGAAATCTCTTTCCATTTTTTAAGAAAACAGGAAGTTTATGAATACTACCTTAGGTATGGAGATGCCAGATCCAATATATGCTGATCTCATTGTTGGTGTGTGAACTGAACGTGGAGGGTGGTCTGTAACCTGAATCCAAGAGAAAAAAGGAATATAAAGGTCTTGAGATATTTCAAACATCACTAGATTAAACCAAAGTAAACAAAGCTAAAAAACCTCAGGCAAGGCAAACTTTATACTAATGAGTATAACGAAAACTGAGTAAAACTCCAATTAATAAAATATATTTACACATTTAGGTTTATGCATGTACCTCCAAAATTCATAAATAAATTTGTTCATTTAGCAAAACTTGCTTAAATCTGGAAATATAAAAAAATTACTTGCAAAAGAAAAGACATAAAAATAAAACTGAAAAGACATTGAATGTAGTCTACATGAAGTGGAAGATAGTAATTTTTAGTTTTGGTTTGCACTTGATATTTTAAGCCTTAATGCTTTAAAAAAAGGCTCTTTAAGAGATAGACAGCTACAGCAATAACTGACATTTCAATAATCAACCTCTAAATCAAGAATTCTTAACCTTGCATTATTTTGTTAACTATTTCAATATAATTCCATTGTAATCCTATGCATTTAAAAAATTTAAAAATATGATTATGAGAAGGGACCCACAGCCTTCACCAGACCAAAGGGGTCCAGGACTCAAAAAAAGTTAAACTTTCTTGTTCTAAGTTGAGGCAAATAACTACTTGACTCACACATGAATAATGACTTCACAGGCTTGGCAATGGGTATAAAGATAAATGTAACCTAAAAACTTACTGGAATGATAAAAGAATTAGTTGACATTTGATAAAGGAATTAATATATTGATGGGAAAGTCTGTCACAAGCAGAGGAGTTAAATCAATATATGATCAGGGCTTTAAAATTATATAAGTTATCACGCACATTTCTTCATTATTTAGTTATACAAAATGCAAGACCTTTTTATTAGTAGTGGGGTGGGTAATGTCCTTGAACAGAAGGAGCTAATGATTTTCTTGTCTGCTACGTGGGTGGACAGGGTGTTTGAAACAGAGGCTGCTTATTAAGTGGTGGATATAGAAGTCAAGAGATATGAGGAAGGGCCTCTGGCTTGGATAGCAAGGTGAGAAGGAAGCTGACAGAAGGAAATAGGTAATGATTATAAGAGGTCCAGGCTAGTTAGAGAGAATATTGAATTCTTAAGAAAAAACAGATCACATTTTTTTGCCTTTGTTATTGTACACTCCAGCAGATGAAAAAGTTGGTATGTTTGTAGGCTGAAAAATGGAATTGTGGATCTCCTCAAGCTGACACCTTCTATTCTGGAGTTAACCTCAATTTAGTTTCAATTGGTTTTAATCAGAAACTATCTGGGGAAATATTTTGAACCCAGATCAGAATTTAATATATAAAAAGCTGAAAGTGGGACACTACATTAATTATAGAAATACGTAAAACACTAGTGAAAAAATATGCTAACATTATAAGCCAAATAACAGAAACCCTGGATTATTTATTGTTTTACAAAGCTTTCACAAAACCTTTATTAAGGTTATGTATCAGGGCTAAGGCATGGCTACAATACATATATTGTATAGTTTCCCAAATTTATTCTTTTCTTACTAGAACTCTAAATCCAACCCTGGAACCACAGAATAAAATCCTACTTGAATTAGCAAGAGAAGACAGGAGAGGATTAAGATAAGCAAGTGATAGGTGCATCTTTCAGTTTCAGTAACATAGACAAAGGTGTGACCTATGCTTTTTTTTTTTTAACTTATTAAAGAATTGATTTTAGTAAAAAGAGTCAACTGGCTGGCTCAATAAAACCCTCTAGTCACATCAGGAACTACTGCAGCTGTTTTCTGCATTACTGGAACAAGGACAAGAAACAGATTCATGTTGGTTGACTATTCTAGTCAGAAATGAGTACTTTATAGCCGGGAGTGACTTGGTAACTGCATTTAAAAGACTTAATTATATGCACGATTGAGTTCGAGCTGAAATTTCAAAAGTTAAAACGAAAGTGTGAAAATTTCACTTGAGAATCATACTATATAGCACTGGTATCTGATGAATGTTCCTACCAACTTCCTCAATTTTTCATCCTGTCACACGTAATATTGCTAAACTATGGTTAGTTAAAATACAGCTGATTTGGGAGGATTTGTCTTGAGGGGCAATTACCTTATTTGATTTTTCCCACCTATCTGTACAAGTGATAATTATATTAGACTACAAAGTCTAAATGTCTTTGCTGTGCTATATAGCATAGGTAAAATAAAGAGATAAACTTCACTTTTTTGTAATGGGATTGATTTACTGTTTCTGGTCACAAGTTAAAGGTCAGGGAGCAGAACAGCCCCAGAGAGGTACCTCAATTGGTTCAATGTCACTAGCTGTGGAAGGAGACCTGGACCTTGACTGGAGGTGAGACTTGACCTCCTCATCCCGTGAAGTAGGGTTAGACAACGTAAAGTTCTCAACTGAATCAATCTAGGAAAACAAGTCAGGGGGAAAAAAAAACCCAAGAAGTCACTTTTAACAATTCATTGCTCTTAGCAATATTAAGTCATGATCATGATAGTGTTTCTTAAGAAATGACAACAAAACTATAAGTTTAGTATTTGTTAGGGATGTTTCAGAAAATATAACCATAACTCTAAATTTGTAATAAATAAGCATGTGAAGTCCACCAGTTGAGCAGGTGGTTTTGCAACTGGTACCACTGATTTTTTAGTTTCAGTATTACTACTGCATTGTCTATATGGATATCCCACATAGAATTTTTGCTGACACCTAAAGGAATTTAGCTTATGAACAAATGCAGAATATGTAATAAAGAAATGCACTGAAAATTGGATACTGTACTACATCTTAAACACAGAAACCCAACCAACATCTCTGGTGGCTCCTAGTTCAAACAGTGTTCATTCTGTAGCAGCAGAATTGTTGGCACTGGTAGCAAAAGATGCATTACTTAAGAACTTTAGCAAATGACAATAATGCTTTGGGTTGAAGCTCAGTGTATAAAACCCTCTAGGGGATAAATTTATATTATGATTTTTATGGTTTACTTATTTTTTCAACTTATCAGGAATAAATTCAAAAAATGAAAATTACATATTTACATAATAAAGATTAATTTTAGGGCAGTCTCTTATGACGATAAAAGAACCTGAAAGAATGAAAATTGATTGATCTAGGGTTGAGCGATAAATATGATTAATGAAGTCTAAAGCAAAATGCTATACCTGAGATTTGTAAACTTTTTCAATTCACGTCTCTGCCTTTAGCTAAAAGCAACTTAAAAGCAAGCTTCAACTTATGTGTAGATCTTTTTTTGAACACTGGAATATATTTTTCTTTAGATGATTTTTGTGACGTACTTTAACATCACTATGTCCAAAGCATAACATATAGGTAATGCCCGATTATCTACACTGACACACATAGTAGTGTGAATAACAAAAACATGCTTTGAAATTGATTTTTGGTACTTTGAGTATGGTGTTGCTGACATCCCAGAAAGTCACATTAATTCAAAATAACTGCGCCAAATTATGAAGACCTTTGAGGACCTTTACTAAAGTCCTACTCTGATATCTCAGCCTGGTGTGGTGATCCTGTGTTTTCAAAGGCACTGAAATCAAAAGATAAACTCTATCAAGTCCCTTACTAAATTGAAAAGATTTTGGGTACACGCCTAGTCACAATACCTAAGTCTAAAATCAAAGGACTAGTCTAGCAAATTTTGTTTTTTGTCCAGGCAGTGGGGTTAAGTGACTTGCCCAAGGTCACACTGCTAGTAAGTGTTGTGTGTCTGAGGCTGGATTTGAACTCAGGTCCTCCTGACTTCAGGACCAGTGCTCTATCCACTGTACCACCTAGCTGCCCCCATAGTCTAGCAAATTTCAAAGAGGCTCCCTACCAGATTAGTCCAAGAGTGATGATTTTTTTGGTCAAGACAATTCTCAAAGACCTTATAATAAGTCATTTAAGAGCTGCAATTTGCGTCAGAGAAGGGAATACCAACACAAATGAAATCACCAGTTGTTCAAATACTGAGGTATGAAGATACCTTTAAGAAACTACAATGTCTTCCCATCACTTATTGAATCAATTCTTTAATCCAGGGCTCCAACTCCTCTACAAATTATCTTCCCTCTGCTTCCTGATCCTTCTCCAGACTTTTCTCTTTCCTCTACTAATATTCTTTTATACTATGTAGGCTGGTCTCCTTACTGCTATTTTTTTTTTTTTTTACCTCTTTTATGCTAAAGTATGTACATCACTTCCTTAAGACACTATCTGATCTTCTCTAACAGTACATCCCTAATAACAATTTGCACTAACTTCCCTCGCTCTTTGTTAGCTATGCTGTTTTTTTTTTAAAATTTCCTTATATTCTCCAGTTATTACTTGTATATTTGTCTTGTCTTCCCAATTACAATGCGACATCTTTTTTTGAAACATTTTTTTTTTCTTTTTTAAGGCAATTGGGGTTAAGTGACTTGCCCAGGGTCACACAGTTAGTAAGTGTCAAGTGTTTGGTCTAAGGCCAGATTTGAACTCAGGACCTCCTGACTTCAGGGCTGGTGCTCTCTCTACTGCACCACCTAGTTGCCCCACAATGCAACATCTTAAAGACAAAAGCCATCTTTTTTCAATATTCCTCACATGATCTAGTACAATGCAATTCAGAGAGTAATTGCTTAACCAAAGTCTGTTGAATAAATTAATAATTTGGAAGCTACTCAACTTCCAGATTCTATAAACTATTCAATCTTCTCATTCCCTAACTACATGGCTTGTGATGAAGTACATTCAATTTAATACAACAAATACATATTAAGCTGCCAGAGCTATAGTCTTGCAAACTGGACCTCAAGAGACCTAGTCTGTAAGTAGCTAAGTGGCTCAGGTCTAAACCTCTTGGGATCATACTTCTTCAACCAAATCATTTTTTTCATTCTACTGTTGATGGTGCTCCTGCTCCATCTTCCAAATGGACTTCTACAGACTATGCTGGAGAGGAGCTAAGTCATGTAGTTTATGGTCCAGTTCCCTTGGACCATGCATGCATGTTCATTTTCATTCCAGCTGTTTTTCTCCCTCTTGCCTATATGATATCTTAATCTTTTTATTTCCTAATCTGAAAATGGTAGTCAAATCAACATTGCACTACTGTACCACTCCAAAGAATTCCCAAATTAAAACAACCTTTCCTGGCCACCATCTCATAAGGTATTATCTACCCCTATGAGAATGTAAATTCCCTGAAGGCAGGGATTGCCACCCTTTCCTATTTTTATTCCCAGAGCACTTAATAAATGCTTCTTAATTCATTCATTCAACACCTTTCAGAAGAATAAAAAACTGGAATTCAAATTTAAACCTAACAGCTTCTTTCTGGATCATACATTTGTTGGAGGTGGGCAATAAAGAGACTTTATAATTACTAAAGGGATTTTCTTGGTGGAAAACATGGATTGGAAGCAGAGCCAAATCTAATAAAATGAAATTTTATAGGAATCAATTTTATAGCAATGTCTTATACCTGCATTCAAAAATAACAACTTCCCAAGTACAAGATGTGGTTAGACAGTTGTTTACTTTAGAAAAAGATTAAGAGGTACCAAAAGGTCAATGTGTCTATTGTGCAATATGGCAGACAAGAAATGTTATGCAATCTTATGCTACGTTAAGGAACGCCTAGTATCTAGGACTTGGGAGGTGATAGTTCTGATAGTCTTTATCATGGTCAGATGACATCTGGAGTACTGTGTTTGGTTCTGGGCACCACATTTGAGGAAGGATATTGATGAGCTATTGAGTATACAGAATAAGGAGATGAAGATGTGAAGGACATCAAATTCACATTATATGAGAGCCAACTAAAAGAAATGAGGGCGTTTAGTCTTCAAAAAAGAAGTCATGTGTGCAGGGGAAATGTGATAATTATTTACAAGTTTTTGAAAGACTATAATGTAGAAGAAGAATTAGACTTTTGCTTGCTCTCAGAAGAAAAGAACTAAGAGTAATGGAGGAAGGTACAGAGGTAAATTTAGTTCAATTAAAAAGAGTCAATTTCTTAATAACTAGACTAGAGCTATCCAAAAGTGGAATGGGATGCCTTACAAGGCTACAGGTTCCTCTTCCTTGTAGTTTTCAAACAAAGGATGAGTGACTACTTGTTGGGGGTGTTATTTAAAGCCAGGCATAGCTTAAGGCTAGGTGGCTTTTGAGGCACCTTCAAACAGAGATTCTGAGAGGGAGAAATAATCTTATAATTATTAAACTGAAAATGGAGAGGAATGCAGAAATGCATCTTTACACAATACCAAGGCAACTAAAAGATAAGACACAGGAAGAATCAGTGGGAAAGCCAAGGAATTCATAGAAGCCAATATTCAAAGAGGAGAAGTAACAACACTCAAGGCCTCAGACACTGTTCTACAAATACAAAGAAGAAGGTTAAAGACCAAAGTAAACCAGAGACCTTGATACAAGAAAGTAAACTAAGCCTCATAGGTATCACTAAGACTTGTAGGGAATATGACTTGTGAATAAAACACAGCAATATTTTAGAATATTTTTTCAAATATTAGAATATTTTAATATTTTATATCAATTAATAGAATATTTTTCAAAATGTTATAAAAGGATACATTAGGATAATATCACATACCAGAGTAAGATATATTCAGTAATATTCTGATGGGATTTTACAACAAACAACCTGATTAAAAGACGAAAGAGATTATAAGTTGGGGAAATATCATAAACCCAGCATGAAGATATCAGTGATGTGGAACTTCCTTGGTATTCTTCTTCCTACAAGGAGCTACTATTTTTCTGTAGTACCCCAGTTAGTGAATGGGCCTACTTGCTCTCTTACTTTGCTAAAAACAGAGGAACTTACCTCATAAGCATTATGACTTTTCTTCCTATTTTAATACTATCCTATGAATTACTGGCAAAGGCTCTCATTTATCATCTCATTCCAGGACTATGGCAATAGGCTTCTGGTTAAACCTCTTGCCTCCAGTAGATTCCCCAATTCCAGTCCATTTTCCATTCAGTTGTCAAATTAGTCTTTACAAATTACAGGTCTGACCATGTCATCTCCTTATTCAATCAACTCCACAGGCTTACTATTACTTCCAGGATCAAATATAAAATCACTTTTAAAGCCTTACACTCTGCAAATACTTTATATACCCATGTACTCTACAATCCAGTGACATTGGCTTCCTTACTGTTCCTCCCACAAAACATTCTGTCTCCAGACTCTGGGTATTTTGAATGGCCAGTCATATAGTTCCTATTCATCTCTATCCCCTGGCTTCCCTCAAGTCACAGCTAAAGTCCTACTTTCTGCAAGAAGTCTTTTCCAGTTCTCCTAGTCACTTCCCTCTGAGAACATACCCAATTTCAACTGTATACATCTTATTGGTACAAAGTTGTTAGCACGTCATCTCCTCAATTAGACT